GCAAAATTTGAACATAGGTCACCAGACAAAATAAAGAGATATAGCACATTGTTTTTCTAAAATGGAAAATTCTAATGACGTCAGCAATTGACATAAAATGCTATATAGAACACGCGAAATAACGTGAGATGGCGCGAGCAACTGCTTACGTCAGTTCATTTTGGAAGTTCTGTCATTTTGTTAATCAGTTTCCGCGACCTGCGCGTAAAAATGGTCACCCGGTTTTGATTTCGCGATTCTTGAGCAGGGTTTTCGTGATAACTATATCGAGCCACCTTAAGCTGGAGAATTGCCTAGCCTATGGAATCAACAAGAACAATAAGTTCGGAAAGGACAACTATACTATTCCGTTGGCAGTTGGACCGCACACGGAATTCATATCAGCTCTGGAGACATTGGAGAAGAAGTGCGCTGCGGTTATTGGGAAACCTGATACCAATGTAATAAGGTGCTTCTGTCGAGGTGGGAAGCAACCTGTTCTGCATGCAGGGATTGATAAGAGTACGGTGATGTATGGGGAGGACGGGGACATGAATCCGATGGAGGAGCGTAATGAACATTTTTACTTGGATGCTTTGATTAGGGTTTCAAGTATATTCCTATCCGGAAACATTGTTTCTGTTCAGATTAAGCTTCAGGAGGCAAAGTATTTGAGGGTAAAAGTTGCGGAAACGTCGAAGAGGCTTCTATAGGCCTGTCATAATTTTAACACCCCTTTGAGGGTATTAAAATTGATCCGGTTGGTCCCTATTACCTTAAATCCTTGTGTCCTATTGCCGTTGTGTTGGTTCCGTCCTCATTAACTATCCTCTTGTCGTCGTTTGCCGATAGGGCTACCTTGACAACCCTTTGCGTATAGATTTCATTCAGTCTGCTTCTAAAGACATTCATTCCTCTCCACTGTTTCTTACCGCTGAGTAGGCATTCTTTATAGTTGTCGAATGTTATTTTTTTTATGGTTGCCTTCTTGACACCCTTACATTTCTTTTCCTCTTTTCCGTCTTTTGCCATTTTGTAGGCGTACAGTTTTGCTCTGAGTCCTACGAATTCTTCGATCTGTTTTTCTCCTGTTTCTATTTTCATTTTTCCGGGAACATTTTTGTTGACGCCTGTTGGGATTCTCGGCTTTTGCCGAGGTTGCTGGTGTCGAATGTTTCATGGACGTGGTTGGAAATGTCTTTGAAGAAATCGTCGGTGGTTATTTCGTAACATAGTGAGTCTGTGTCCGTGAATAGGAGCTCGACCTTATCCCCATACATTGGTTTGATGAGGTTGTAGTGGTGTTCATACATAAGGGTTTTGCTGATGTCCAGGATGCTCATTCCGATGTATATGGGTTTTCTGAGTTTTACAGATGTTCGTCTCATATGGACTGCCACTAGGTTTTCGGAGAAGATGGTTGCTGATTTGAAGTTGGGTTTTTTGGCTAGCTTGTTCCATTTCTTTTTGTCGTTGACGATTCTGATGTCAATCCTATTTCTTACGTTTTCCATGGTTTTTCCGAATACGGAATTATTCATAAGTTTGAAGAAGTCTTTTTCGAAGTCTGTGGTTCCTCTGGTACGGAGGTCTGTGTTGAGTTGGATGTACTTTTTCATCCAATCCCTTTCGAGGGACGTTTCTTCCAACTTTCGAATCCATCCATATACTCGTAGGGGTATACACCCTTCTGTTTAAGCAATTCTTGTTGCTCCCTGGTGTAGCGAGTTGTCATTAGGTCCAGATTTTTGAAGTCGTCCTTACCTAAACCTTTGGTGAGTTTGTCCAGGGAGCTTGCCATAAATTTGAAAGAGTCCAGAAATCTTAGTTCTCTTTTGACTTTCTTTTCCTTACCATCCTTATTTATAAACTTATCAATCTCTACCTCCTTAGTAAAGGAGATGTATTTTTCTTCCGTCCTGGGAATGCATTTGATGTCTCCACTGCTCACCCCGAGGTTTTTGATAAATAAGTGGGCATCATACCCTTCAAGGTTATGGAAGAGGACTGGTATGAATTTTGGTTGCTTCATTTTGAGGTTGCATGAATTGTGTGCTGCACCCCTGTATTTGCCTGTGTAGTGACAATAATGGTCGTTGACCTTATAGTCCTTTTCCGTAAATTCCCCACCGCATGCATAGCATTGTGTGGATAGGTTGTAGTTATCGGTACCTTTGGGGTCATGTTAAAGGGAACCGGTGTTTTGAATCGGTTGTAGATATCCTTTTTTTCCTCCACAAGCATGTCCACAAATTTTTTAGTGATGTCTTCTCCTTCGTGCTGTTGGGTGTAGTGTACCAGCTTGGATTGGTAGATGGAGTCGTGGAAGCATTTGACATAGTGGCAGAATCCGCTGGGGTTGTGTTTCTGGTACTGTGTGGTGCTTCACTCGTCCGGTTTTTGTTCCTTTGGATCCAATTCCTTGATGTAGCATTCAAAGTCTGCATAGATGGCAAATGGGAATGTTTGTGTCTTTCCACAGTTTTCGAATTTTGTGGCGCTACCAGGTTTTGGGTATTCGTGTCTTTGGTAGTTGTTATTCGAACATAATTCTAAGTGTTTCTCTTGGAGTTCGTTTGATTCGAATGCGTTAAGGCATCGGTCGCATATGTATTTTTTGTGTTCGTTCTTGCTGATTTGTGAGCCTACGAGTTTTGACATGTCCTTTATGACACTGTAGTGGTTTTCTCATAGGAAGAGTCTTATGGGATCGGTTTTTCCTGATGTCCGTAGGAGGTATACCTTAAGTCTTTCGTCGGCACTAAACACGTTGACGCAAATGTTGTTAAATGTTGTTCTCTTCGAACCAATTCAACCCCTTCCCAGTTTAGCTCTCTGGATTGTTTTTTAAGTTCCGTTGTGATTCTTTCCGGATGGATGTCGGTAGGGTTTAAGGCACGTGTGACAGCCCACTTGAAACATTCGTCGTCGTCGTTCTTCATATTGATGATCGCCTTCTTACTTACTATGGATTTGGGTAGGGCTTCGTGTTTCTTATCCCTGAGGGGTTGGAATTCTCCAATGTGGATCTCTAACTGGGTAACTCTGCGTAGTCCCCATCCACTGCCTCTCCTTTGGTATTCGGAGAATGACTTTAGCATTTTTTCCCTCATTGTGCTTTGGGCCTCCTCCGTATCGTCCGTACTAATAAGTTTGTGGTTTTTTGACCCGAAGTGAGCGATGGTTGATACCTCTTCCCCAGTTTTCGGGTCGCTTCTTACCATTTCACAAGCCAAGGACATCCTCACGTTTCTGGGTTCTGTTTCGGAGTTTATGAGTGTTTTAACCTATCTTCCGTGATGGTTAGGAAGTAGGATGGATCGTACACGCCTTTGGGGTTGATAACATATTTCTTTACCTTTTTCTTGATGGCGTGTTTGGGTAGGATGGGTTTCAGAATTTCCCTTGGTCTTTCCCAAATTTTGCTTAGCTTATCACCCACTTTTAGCTGAAGCCTACCGAATTTTCTCTTACCTCTCCACTTGCCCTCTGCGATTCTGCAGTACTCCTCAGCTCGCCTTTCCCTAGCCTTCGCATTTCGTCGTAATCGCTGGGATTCTTTTTTCCATTCTGGGCTTCGGCCTTCCAATCCGTAACTTCCTTACGCCGTCTCTTTTCTTCCTTAGCAATATCACTTTTCCATTTCCTTGTATCCCTTGTTGCCTTTTGTGCGTTGCCCTCGGTCTGCTTCCTTCGTCTTTGGAACTGCCTTGCGACACTTCCTTTCCGATTGCCTTTCTCTTTTCCTTCTTGTGTAATTCGTCAAAGTGGTTGTTAATTTTTTCTTCAATTTTTAGACCTCTTTCTCGGGCCTTTTCCAGAACGTTAGTTCTCATGCGTCCTATAGATGTGAATTTTTTGTCCGAAACTGGAATACTCTGGCTTTTGGTTGCCATTACTTTATTATATAGATAATTTTTTTTTAATCTGTGATGTGGTCTGAATGTTGATTTTTTTTTTTTTTCAAACCCATAAGGTTTGGAAATAGTAATGGCAACTCCAGGTATTCCAATCCCGGACATATGAGAAATGTCCTTTTTATTATATAGGATTCTTTTTTTTTGGAAAAAGTTGTTTCTGTTTGTAAGATGGAGTGTCCACAATTGCGTCTTTGGATTTGACAACCTCGCCAGGTCACTACCTGACAACCTTAGTCGGTTTGACCCTGTAAGGCTTCTTCCATTTCAGCCTCTATTTGCATATCATCCAGCGTTTCCTCCTCCCAGTTCAATATCTCGTCCGATATATCCCCCACCTCGTTATGTATTTCATCCATTTCTTCTGCTTCCTCTTGTCGTTCTGCTATGTGTAGAAGGTCGGGGTGGGTGTAAAGGCGGGTGATTTCTGTTGGTATACCTAAGCAGATTCCATCTTTCTTGTCCTTTTGGTTTTCGATACAACAGTCGTATGGATAGGTGGATTCTGAAATGGTTATAAAAACTGTGATACCCTTTGATTCTCCTTTACTTTAAGGTTGTTTATCCTGTGGATTTCGGCACCTTTTCCCATCCATCCCTTTCCGAACTTAACCTTAAGCTTCGCCGGACCGTTTTCACCACCAACTTCCATAGTGAACATTGTGCCCATGTAGTCAACTCGTTTAAGCATCCTCTCAATATAGTCCATTTTTTCCCGACAGTTGAAGTAGAGTTGGACCCTTTCTTCCTCCCTTCTGGTGAATTGTCTCATTGTGGTTGTCCTGTTTGGGCGGAGGTAGGATTTGTTTGTAAAAAATGTTGATTCTGTTTTAGTCATAGGATCACACCTGTGGGACCTAACAGAGTCTTCCCCATTCCATCCAGCCGTCTTTCTAACGCACGTAGCTGCTCGTCTTCCTCGTCTTCCTCCTCACCTGTTAGTATATTTTCGACCTCACCTCGCAGGACTGTGTCTCCCCTATCCTTTAGGTTTTTGATCCAACACCTGCGTGGAAAGCTGTTAAGATCGAAAATCGTGATGATGACTAGAATACCTCCTGGTTATCCGTTGGTAAAGTTTAGCCTACGGATTTCAGCATTTTTCCCCATCAACCCATTTCCAAACTTAACGTTGACTCTTGCTATGCGTTGATCGGTCGGTATGGGCGCTATTCTGCCAAATACGGGTATTGTGAATTCTATGGTTAACATTATGTCTTTGTAGTTAACCAGCTTACACATCCTTTCAATGTGGTTCACCTTTTCGGGACAGCGGAAGATGAGTGCGGCTTTTTTCATTTCCTTCTTTTTAAAGCATCTCCTTGTAATGGGTTGTTCCATGGTTGCTTTGTTTATATGTAGGAAAGTTTTGTCTATAGATTGTTGATTCTGAATTTGAGGTACTTTTCAGTAAGATTAAGGACCAATAAGAGCATCCTGAGATACTTCCGAGCATAATTAAGGTTACTTAACTTTTACTTGTTTCTTACTCAAAAATATTTTGAGATACTCTTGACTAGAATTGAGGTCACTTACAAGTTACTTACAAGTTAGTTAACTTCTACTATAAATAAAAAGAACCATGTCTGAAGAGAATCCAGATACGACAGCAGTACCTGTCACAAATCCAGTAAAGATTCACGTCAGGGATCCCAGGAGAGTGGAGTCGGGAAGCAGGCTTGCTAAGATCAGTAAGGAAGCAAAAGCTAGAAAGAAGGCACAACTTGAGGCTATCAAAGAAGAGGAGCAGAGCATTCCGGACACGGAGGACAAAGGTGATGGTTCAATAGTCACCCTAGAGAGAATCGGCTTGGTAGTAGGTATCGCCGTAGGGCTCGGATCCCTTTATGTTATGTGGTGTAGTCGTCAGGAAAAGGACGAGAAGCCTGAGGAAAATAATATTGTAGAGGAGCCAAAAGGCCCTGACTTGTTTGACTGAGTATAATAAAACAATGTCGCAATTATTCCTAGACATACTAACCTTTGCCGTAGCAGTTGGAGCCGCACTGATTTACATTCACACGGTTGAGGCGACAGAAGCCAAACGCAAGACGATAGATGCCGAACGTAAGAAAAGTGAAGACAGGATACTTGACACCCTGGAAAGAAGATCCCCCTAATCCTCGAAAAGAAGCTAGAGGAGAAACAAATCGTACTATAATAAAAACATAATGACCGACACGAAGAAGGAAGTGATCAACGAACTTTATGACGCCGCACTATTGACAACCGGAGTTGTTGGGGGTATCCTACCTTGGCAAAACGGTTGCTGGAAAAAGCCTTGGTGCACCAATGACTTTAGAGGGAGCGGCGAAGCTTGCTGTTGCCGTAGCCGAAAGCGCATTTACCATAGGATATCTTAAGGATAAGGGATACATCCCAAAAATGATCGATAAATAAAGCATGACATCTATTGTAGTCGGAGGACTCTTTAATGCCGTGGCCTTTGCTGGAGCCGGTTTCCTATTCTCCAAGTTGAATGGGCAAGGCCACAAGGAAGAGGTAAAAAGACATTACCAAGCCTTAGAGAAGCTTGCGAAAGCTAAGGAGAAGTTCTACAAATCCGAGGTAAAACGGAGGAACAACGAGGCAAGACGGAGGGCCGAGATCCTGGATGCTAACAGGGATATCGAGGAAACGAACAGGGCATTAGAAGATCTGAGGGATTATACGAGGCTTATGGATAGCACGGCATCCCAGCGTAGACCGAAATTGGAGGATTATTATCAACCGTCGGATGAGATGAAGAGGTACGCAGTTCTAACAATGAGTATCCTGGGAGTTGGTGGTGCTTACGGAATAACGCGAATATTTTAAATCTTCCTGTAAGATTTAAAAATCTTATGTTGTCAGGAGAAAACAATTTACGGTTGTAGCTCTTGTTCTGCTGGTTACGTTTCCAGCAGAGTCCACGTCCTTGGATTCCATTGCAAAAATACTGACTATATCGGTGGCAACTGCGAACGAAAACGATACTTGGATGATTCTGCTAGTTTGGTCGTGTCCACAGGACGGTCGTTCCCACACTTCCGTCGTAAAACCCGTATAAGGGTGAGTGGGTTGCTATATTTTTACCGTCGCTGATGCTAAACCTTATAAACTTTGCACTTTTCCTATATATCACCGCTGGATATGGTGGGGGTTTGCAGGAATCCGGGTGGATATCCAGGTGATTGGGTAAAGTCGTACTGTACCGAATTTTTCCCGAGGCTATTCAACCCTACAATGTCGTTCGCATGTTTGACAACCTCTGCCGTGTTTCCCTGCTGTGCCTTTTCGACTGCTGTCAACTTTCGTTTTTTAAGGTGTTCAGGTCTTCCGTTATCGTGTCAAAGTAATCGTACCCAAATAAGATGCTCATTTTATTTAACGTCGAAATACTACAATCGCGTGCAAAAATTCTTGAGACAAGCAGTTTATTGGCCCTCTCCCTGCTGTAACAATGCTTCTTGCCCCCCCCCTTGTGCAATGTTGTTAAAACGATTTTGAGGTCAGGGCTTATCAAATAATATGTTTTCAACATTGTTAATGGGGGGAGGGGGGCACGCACGTGAAAAAGATCACCAAAATGTGAAGAGTCTCATTATTTTTGCACGCGATTCAATCGCGTGCAAAAATTCTTGAGACAAGCAGTTTATTGGCCCTCTCCCTGCTGTAACAATGCTTCTTGCCCCCCCCCCCCTTGTGCAATGTTGTTAAAACGATTTTGAGGTCAGGGCTTATCAAATAATATGTTTTCAACATTGTTAATGGGGGGAGGGGGGCACGCACGTGAAAAAGATCACCAAAATGTGAAGAGTCTCATTATTTTTGCACGCGATTGTCTATGTAGTTTCGAGTAATGATAATTTTAATACGGTTATTTCGCTTTGCCGTAAATAAGAAGCATAACAGCCTTTGCTTGCTGTGACTATGTGTTTCATGTGTGCCTAAGGATTTTACCTACAGTGTGTAAAATTGTGACGTCACAATGACGTCATCGTGACGTCATAAATGACCGTAAATAGTTCATAAATTGAACGCGTCCCGCTTGAGTATTGAACAGTTACGACAAGATGCCATTGACTAGCAAATCACGTCAGAAAAGTTTGAACAATTTTCCGAATGAGTTAAAAGCACGACGATGAATTTGTCAAAAAGTACTATGAACTGAATTATTATATCGATGAACAAGCGTGTTGCAATGATCAGTGAGAACGATTAAAGTATTAAATTTATTAAGTGTTTCTATATTACAATGTTTTTCCCTATTTATACCGTTTATATTGGCAGTGCCTTTTGACTTCAATAACTGTTTTAGATGCTTAATAGTGACGAATGTATTAAGTACACACTTCTACCATGCATATTCAATAAAAGTACTATGCGAAAACTCAACGACTTATTGCCTACGTGAAATTTATTTTGAAGACCTTATACATGCATACAAACTAAATAGAACTCAATTTCAACACGTTACGCACACGTTACGCACACGTTACGCCACACGTTACGCCTTTCACTATATAGGAATCTATAGCAAGCTGACACGTTACACACGTTACGCCTAATATATTAAAAGTAGACCTATTCTACCTTTATAAGAATGGGGCGTAACGTGTGTAACGTGTCGATTTTCATTAATATTCTATATACACTCAAACGTAACGTGTGGCGTAACGTGTGCGTAACGTGTGCGTAACGTGTCATCTATTCTTATATATTTCTTTGAGAGTAAATGTGCAATGATGGCAGCATGAAAAAAGTTAAAACTGTTCATCCAAAAACACCAGTTCGTCAAAACAGCGTGGTTACGGAGACAGGTCTTTCTGCTCCGCCTGCGGAATCTTCCGGGTAAACTCAAAGACCCTCCACCAAACAAACCAGATAATTTCTGTTTCGCGTTCGTCAATCTGTCCGTTTCTGCCGTAGTAGAAAATTGCGTTGCTTAAAGTTGCAAAAATTGGATGTCAGAGTCCAGATTGAAAAGTTAGAACAGGAGACATAGAGGATTCAATAAGCAGTTCAAAACGGTTGTTTACTCGTACCCAGTCCCCCATTCTGCGTCTTTTGAGTCCATTTTTGTGCGAGTTTCGCACGAAAACTAGATCACTGGGCTTAAAGCGCGAAAAATGAAAATTTTGGCCGAGACTGCTTTAAGTTCAAATTTTTGGCAGAAATTTAATTAAGTTTGTGAACACAATGAGGCCTCTGCTAAGACAATCGCGTGCAAAAATTCTTGAGACAAGCAGTTTATTGGCCCTCTCCCTGCTGTAACAATGCTTCTTGCCCCCCCCCCTTGTGCAATGTTGTTAAAACGATTTTGAGGTCAGGGCTTATCAAATAATATGTTTTCAACATTGTTAATGGGGGGAGGGGGGCACGCACGTGAAAAAGATCACCAAAATGTGAAGAGTCTCATTATTTTTGCACGCGATTGTCTGTGTAGTTTCGAGTAATGATAACTTTAATACAGTTATTTCGCTTTGCCGTAAATAAGAAGCATAACAGCCTTTGCTTGCTGTGACTATGTGTTTCATGTGTGCCTAAGGATTTTACCTACAATGTGTAAAATTGTGACGTCACAATGACGTCATAAATGACCGTGAATAGTTCATAAATTGAACGCGTCCCGCTTGAGTATCAAAACAGTTAGGACAAGATGCCATTGACAAGCAGATCACGTCAGAAAAGTTTGAACAATTTTCCGAAAGAGTTAAAAGCACGACGATGAACTTGTCAAAAAGTACTATGAACTGAATTATTATATA